GTGTGATAAACATTATCCTAGTCCCTAAACCACCGTGGCTTCGAGTGTGATAAACATTATCCTAGTCCCTAAACCACGTGGCATCGAGTGTGATAAACATTATCCTAGTCCCTAAACCACGTGGCTTCAAGTGTGATAAACATTATCATAGTTCCAAAACCACGTGGCTCCAAGTATGCTAAATAAATACAATCTTCCTAAGTGTATCTCACGTGCGAAAAGAAAAAAATGCGAATATTTTAAGGACAAAAAAAAGGGAAAGAAGAAAATTTCTCTCTCAGAAGTAAAGCCTAAATTAGTATTTCTATCTCCTGATATAGCATGTTTACTAGAATTAAATAGGATTTATTTAACATGAAAAATAAAGAAATGAACACTTCTGTTGAATCCTTGATATTCTCTCTACGATAATTTTGACAGTTTTCAATCACGTGCAGAAGTTAATTTGTTTGTTTCAAATTTTTCGCGCAAAGTTACACGAGGGGTTATCCGCGCTAGCCGTCCCTAATTTTGAACTGATAGACTAGACGGAAGGCAGCTAGTCAACACCATCAAATAGTGTGATATTTACAACACGAACCATGAACCCTCAGGTTTATAGTCCGACCACGTTGACCACTAGATCATGTATGACCGTTAGTGTTGGAGCTCTGAATTTTAACAGAAGCTTTAACTTTAATAAGGGGGAAAAAATAGAAAATTGAGTGCATAAACTAAACGTTCTTTCTCTAAATGAAGTGTTATATCGAATCCATATTTTATGGGTTTGTCTACAGTTTGTTATATTCGCTCTCTGCACTAGCCATCCTTAATTTTGAATTAATAAACTAGAAGAAAGGCAAACTAGTCAACGGCATCCACCGCCAACTCTTAGACTACTATAATAGAATAGCGAAATTTGACGGTCACTCTTATAACACAACTACGATGATTTTACATCAAGGAGACGCAAACCACAGACTTCCAAATTCACACATTCAGTATTAGTATATAATTTTTAGTTGAACAGAGGGCGCACCAACCACGTTACAGCCAATAGTTTCTTTGCAGAATAAGACTGTAAAAAGTTTTACCTATAATTACATGTACAGGTAAAAAATGATGTATGTTTAGAACAAAACACAAAGATTAAAATACGTAATTACTATAGTTAAAAGACAAAGATAACCCACAAACCTTACCATTACTTAATTCCAAAAACTGTTAATGGTTTCCTAAGAAATTTAAGAAATGAAAGTGATATAAGGAAATTTAAATTATTAATAGTAAAAATAGCAAAATTATTTGTAAGAGTGAAATAACTGTGGTCTATGTCAAATAAGATCAGGTTAAATTGGAAATAGTTATTAGTTGACATTATTACCCCAACAAGTTTCACGCACTTCACTTAAATTATCAATATTTTAAATTTCTGAACTTTTTATAAATGATGTTGAAAAATAAAATGTTTCGTTGTTGCTTTTAAAAAAAGGTTAGAAAAAAACCTTGCCTATCTTCTTTCACGATTAACAAAACTAAAAATAGATTTCATAAAAATTGAGAAAATTACTTTTTAACTCGCTGGATTGTTGTCTTAACACCAGATGGATTACATATTGTTGTGTTAACAGAAGTTGGATTACATACTGTTGTGTTAACACTAGATGAATTACATGTTGTATTAACACAAGTTGGATTACATACTGTTGTGTTAACACAAGTTGGATTACATACTGTTGTGTTAACACCAGATGGATTACATATTGTTGTGTTAACACCAGATGGATTACATATTGTTGTGTTAACACCAGATGGATTACATGTTGTATTAACACAAGTTGGATTACATACTGTTGTGTTAACACAAGTTGGATTACATACTGTTGTGTTAACACCAGATGGATTACATACTGTTGTGTTAACACCAGATGGATTACATATTGTTGTGTTAACACAAGTTGGATTACATACTATTGTGTTAACACTAGACGGATTACATATTGTTGTGAGATTTGTGGATTATTTTCTTTTAATATATAACTTAGAATAATAGTTACGCTATTGAAAATTTCTTCCTGGTTTTTAATGGATTCAATGAAACAAACAAATTCAGGTATAAGTACAGTAAAAACACTATACTTTCTTAAATGTTCTTGTAGTTAAAGAAAATAATGAAGTTATGACTGAGAACAAACCAATTTATATTATTTATGGTTTTAACAATCATCCAGAACCAGTAAAATTAGATATCTCAGATTAACAAAATTGAAGAAGAAAAAAAAAAGAGATAGAACGTCATTATGTAGAGAATATTATTGATAGATGCTATATTTTGGTTAAAAGGTGTGTTTGTTTGTTTTGTTGAATTTCGCGCAAAGGTACCCGAGGGCTATTTGCGATAGCCTTCCCTAACTTAGAAGTGATCGACTGGAGGGAATGTAGCTAATCAATACTATCAACTCTCGGACTACTCTTTACCAACAAAAAAATGGGATTTATCGTCACACTGTGACGCCCCCACGGTTGAAACGGCGATTAAGTTCGGTGAGGGAATTCGAACCCGGGAGCCAAAGATTGCGGGGCGAGCGCCCTAACCCAGGCCAGGCCCGTGAAAATGTCACCAGGAGTACAAATATTATACCGCACTTCGTAATTCATTGCCGAAAGATATCGATTAATATCTAGTTTATTTTAAAATATTGATCAAATTGTAGATATGAAGCTAATTACTAATGGTATAATTATTTGGGCTATTTATTCTCGACTTTATTATGTGTGTTATTATTTTCACAAAGTTTCGAACAGTGAATTCTCCGGCCCCCGCCAGCTGTTATATCAGACATTTTGTATGCGTCACAACCAGATAGCCTTTTATGGAATTACCAGGATTCGAACCCCCGAACCTGTGATCCGGAATACCACTTGGCTATCAGGAGGTTGTAACCCTTTACCCTTTACCTTGGCAGGAATTTCGACTTTTAACCACTTGACCCCAAACCTGTGATCCCGAATACCACTTGGCTATCAGGCGGTTGTAACCTTCCCTTTACCTTGGCAGGGATTTCGATCTTTGACCATTTGACCCCAAACCTGTGATCCCGAATACCACTTGGCTATCAGGAAGTTGTAACCTTTTACCTTGGCAGGAATTTCGATTTTTAACCATTTGACCCTAAACTTAAAAAGAGCTCAAGGCCAAATGTAATCGCGGGGTGTTCAGAAAAATGAATTTCTCTTCTCCCCGCTCGTGATATAGTATAACTAGATTGGATAATAATTTAAATTACACTCGATGGTGTAAAAGCTTAAAAACGGTTGATATATTGTCGTGGCTCCTTATTATTATTATAATTAAAAAGGGAGGGGGTGAGGGTTAGCGAGCAAAAAATACTTCAAAACCACTTGACCGCACCGTTGGCACGATATGGTGAGATTCTTTTCCAATTTTATTCTATTCTGGGAGTAGCAAAAATTTGGGTTGTGATCGATAGATCCAAATATCTTTAATTTTCGTGTGGGAATTCACTCTTCCAAGTTAAGACGAAACCCTTCTAGGATCTAAACTGACCTCTGCCTCAGACCTTCCCAGGGATTTCGTAAGAAGGTTGTGACACATACAAAATGCCTGATAAGACACCTGGCGGCGGCCGGAGAATTCACTGGTCGAAACGTTGTGAAAATAATAACACAATAATAAAGTCGAGAATAATAGTCCGAATAATTATACCATTAGTAATAGTAACACCCCGTCTCAATCATTCCGCAAAACTATAATAAGCTACTCAATAACTTTCTACTCGGTCAGGTTTGACAAAGTATGATAATTTTGTTATTTAGGAGTTTACACGTTATTCTTTACAGACATACTGCAAGAATGGATGGAAAGGACAAATAAAAAACAATATATTTGGAGTATCTCACTGCTAAACGGTTGTTTAGAAAGTAATTTTCAAGTTAGGTTTGGTTCAGGTTAGGTTAGGTTATTACTACTGTAGGTTATTGTTTTTAAGTTAGGTTTGGTTCAGGTTAGGTTAGGTTAGGTTCAGGTTAGGTTAGGTTATTACTACCGTATCTGGGATATTCCAGATAGGCAATGCCCATATTGTCATACCCACATACTTTCAGAATAATCGTGTGTCAGTGAGATATTCCAGATAGACAACGTCGATATTGTTATACCCCAGTACTCTCAAAACAATCGTGTAGCAGTGAGATATTTCAAATAGACAACCCCGATATTGTCATATCCCCCATATGTTCAAAACAACCGTTTATCAGTGAGATATTCCAAACAGACAATATCGATATTGTTATACCCCCTGTACTTTCTAAACAACCGTTTAGCAGTGAGATATTCCAAACAGACAAATCCGATATTCTTATACTCCCTGTACTTTCTAAACAACCTTTTAGCAGTGAGATATTCCAAACAGACAAATTCGATATTGTTATAACTCTGTACTTTCTAAACAACCGTTTAGCAGTGAGATATTCCAAACAGACAAATCCGATATTGTTATACTCCCTGAATAACCTACAGTAGTAATAATAATTTCATCACATTCTAATACAACGAAATTTTTTGTTACCTTTTGAGCCAAGTATTGCCATAACTTCTCCTGCGTGAACTTCAAAAGTTACATCTTTTAAAATAATCCCCATAGGAGCGGATCCCAGGATTTTCTGGATATACGATCCTCCGGCGACTTGTCCCATGTGAAAGACACTAATTAATTCTAGCACGTGATCACCGTCCATTTCAGATTTTCTCTGTTCTGAGAAAAACAAAAAGACGACAGAATGAAATTAATGACACGCACAATTTCGACTAAAATTAATAAAATACTATAAAATTCGTTAAAACAACATATATGTTACCGAAATTAAACGTTACAACAACATATATGTTACCGAGATTAAACGTTACAACAACATATATGTTACCGAGATTAAACGACTTATAAACAACCAAAAGTTACACTGATTATCGTAATGCTTTATTTGGAAGTCTTAATTAAACCTTAAGTTTAAATAACTTGTCTAAGGCTTACGCTTTAGCTTCAGCGTGTGTTGTTACTTGCCGCATTCACAATTTTTCTGTACGTTTCAGGTCAGACCATTACCACCAGATTCAGCCACAGAGGACGAAGCCCCTGTTCAGAAGATAACGCCCTCTTTCCTCTTAAAATAAGCACTCAATCGAAACGTTACACAGCTCAACGTGATTCTTCTTCGTAGTGGAGGTTCGGTAACCTGGACAGAGGTGGAACAAATGTGTTCCTTTTTAAAGGAAATCCGCACTCCACAAGGACTCTATTAATTTAGTAACACTCTGCTGCCATTTTGAAAATTATATATAAAGCTATACGCTGGGCTAAAATCGTAAATCCCTTAAAGCTCTCATTTACACATAAGGATACCGTGCAGTACTTAGAATGTGCCCGGGGCACTTTGTTTAGAAGCGTAGTGGTATTCGGAGAAACAGAAAGTTTGATTTAAATTGGATAAATGAATGACAAAAAATATGTTTCTCGTGAGTGTCACTGGAACGGATAACTTTCCTGGGAAAACGGTGTGAAGTTGGTGCAGAAGGAAAAACTTGAAGGAT